CAAGTTTCTTTGGCCAACATTTCAACTCTCTTCCTTTGTTATGCAATGAGCTATTCACATTTAAGTATTCTTGTTTTACACAGACACTGTGAAGCACTTGGGAATCTTCAACATTACTACTTGAGGGAAAGCTTGCACTGAAGTTAAAAGGAGTTTTGCCTCTGTATATAGTTACAATATTTGACTTGGTATTAATGAAGTGTGATAGACACATACTCCTACCAATTACAATATTAGAAAGGTTTAGACTAGCAACTATTCCTAAATAATGTTAGTGAGGGGTTTATAAAGAATGACTTGGACTTATTATAACAATGTATATTTAATTAGAATCCTAAGGGGCAAAGGGAGTAACAGTTATTGAGATACTTCAGTGTTTGGACTTGGGTTAAAATAATGAAAGATTCAGAAACAAATATTTTTTTTTCAGCCAGTGGGTGGCTCAAGAAGAAAAACAGGATATTTTAGCTGTTCTGCAATAGATCCTTTGATACTACTACAGGAATCATACATACTGAGGCAATATCGCTACAGAAAGAGATGGTGTATTCTCCCTCCATATCTATTACCGGAAATCTGAAAGGCAGAATTTACAAAACAACATCCAATCATACCTGCTGTATGTACTTGTTAAACAGTCTTTCCCTGTTATCACACCTTCTAAATAAAGCCTCCATGTAAGCAGAGGGAGTAGTGGAAGCATGGAGAGACTGGGAAACACTTTCATAACATGCTCCACCATTTTACTCTAACCCTGAGGAAGCCTATCTGTGAGGCATCTTGGCATCCAGATCTATGTGCAGAAAACAGGCTTGGATTTTCCCCTCTCCCCACAAATGTTATGGGACAAAGTATACAGCAACTTACAAAGTCAGTATGGGCATGTCTTCGTAACCGCCACCAGGTGGATTTGAACCTGGGAGCTTTGAAGCAGAGTATCGGTGCCTCTGAGCTAAAAGCCAGTTGACTCCCAACCCATGCTGTAGAGGTCTCTTGATTTTAACTGTTGCTGTGGTCTAGGTGTCAGCTGACGGTCAGGGCAGTGTGTGTGTTACTGAGAAAAGGTTTAACGTCTGTGTCTTTACCGCTAGGACTGGGGTCCCATCGCAGAGGGCAGCCAACAGGCTGACAGATTCCCTATAAACTCGGGGCGAGCTTATTACAGCTCAGATTTCAGCTGCTAGAATACAGGATCCCTTTGCAGCGGGCAGTCTAGGGAAGACTGAGAGATGCCCCAATGGATCTGTCACCTGGGAGTGACACGATCCAAAACGCCCAAGCTCTTCCTATACCTGTCCCTTATGATGGGCTGAAGTTCTTTTAAATTGTACTTGGTTCTGTTACAGCAACTGAAGGAGTCAGGTTAAAGCTTAAACAGTTACAGGTTTATTAAAGAAGCTTATAAATCATATGGTTACAATGGCTAATGCTCTATTTCATAACTGCTAACAAATACAGATCTTAAAAAATGGTTACAAAGAAAATAAAGATAGAAAATAGAAATAATGGTACCAAGTGACAGCTTAATCTTTAAAGAGCTCTAAGTCTATGTGTACACTTAAGACAAAGGACACATCCAGGTACAATTTTTACCCCTTTCTGTGCCTCTTGACTCCAGCAGGTCAAGCCAGGGCCGGTCCCTTAATTGAAAGACGAATACGAGATGGGTGTCCCTGTGGAACCTCAGGAGGTCAATAACCTAACCCGACCAGCAGGTAGATGGTAGATTGACACTCAAAGTGAGTGTGCTGCTGGACCCCTCTTTATACCTATGGGGTCACGTATTTCTCTTTCTTATCTGTGATGCCAAATGGTCCTGGTCTGTCTTTTGTGATGCCAGTTCTTACAAGGGAGTTGTGAAGTTAATTTACACTTGTAAGAGAACTAAATTGGAAGTACTGGGGATTCTTTTCTCAGTGGGAGATTCCTCTCTCAGGGATGACTGTGATCGTATCAACATAGGTTCTAGCCAGGGCAGTTCTCGCAGCCTCGGTCAGCTTATTGCCTTAATCGCTCTTTCCTCATATCTATGTTTTCAGCTTCTCAGGATCAGATAAGCCAGCATACACTATGCTGATTTTATTGCTCCTTCTCTGCCCTGTATGCTTCAGGAACCTCAGAGAGGCAAATAAGATGGATGTGACCGGGGGAGGGTAGATGGTCTGGCTGGCTACAGTAGGTACTACTTGCATTGCTCAGTAACCATACTAGGTGTGTGGGTTACATCTACACTAGGAAGTTATTTCAAAATAAGGTGAGCGTCCACACTACCAAGCCTGTTTTGAAATAATGGGCTTATTTTGATATAACCATTCCTGTTTGTGAAGAGGAATAAGCTTGCTTCAAAATTGTTATGGGCATTATTTCAAAATAATTTATTTTGAAATAACCTGGTAGTGTAGACAGCCTATGAAATCCACTTCCAAAGGCAGGTGCCAGCTAAAGTCTGAGTGTCTGACACTGCTCCATTAGAAGCCACTCCGTCCAGGAGTTGCATTGAATTGTGCTGCTCTGCTCCTTCCAGCTCCAGAGTGATTGTGAGAGGCCTTGCTGGATTCCTAAGACTATTGTGGATTTTGTGGTTCATAGGACTAGGCAGTGGGGCCCTGGCTTTTTCGCAAGTGGTGGGTAAAGGGACGGGACAAACTGCGCCATTTAATGGCAGAAATGATCAGGCTGAACGGCAGTTTCCCTTCTCCTTTATAGGAGCAACCTGCCTAGGGAAGGAGGGGGCTCCCAAAGAAACAGATTATATTTCTGTTTGTTTATATTTGCAAATGGTAATCATCACTGTATTACCAACTGGGCTCAACAATATTAACAATTTGTACAGCTTAATAAAATGCTAAGGAACTACATGTAATTAAAGATTGCCTTGTAAACCCACAGAGTGAGCATAAGAATAGTTAACCCATAATCATAATTTTTAAAAATATGGTTATAATGCACTTGTCTGGATTGATTATAAAATTAGAATGTTTTACAATTTGTATGCTCAGCACTTGCTGAGTCAGATACCAATTCAGAGCCCTATCAAGCCAGAAATGTACTCAGGGAAATAATTTATCCCTGATGTAACTCACTTTTCACCCTTGATTACCTCTATGCAATCCCATCAATTTCTTTGGGATTGCACAGCTAACACTGAATTTGGTCCAGTCCATATACATATCCAGAAACACTTTTACCTCAGATATCTCCAAAAAATTTCCATTAACTTCAACAGAAGTTGAACCTAGACATCTGAGGCAGGATTTGAGCTCAATTCTATTCCCATTTAAATCAATGAGAGTTTTGTTCTGAATTTAACTGGAAGCACAAAGAAGCCCTTGGCCCTTACCTATAACTCATGTTGGAAAAAATCCAGTTTTTTTTAGTGTGGATGATCCAGTGCTGCTAATTCAAAATAACTGGCCTCCAACAGCCTCTCTCAGCTCTATTTATGGATGCTGTGGCCATACCTGCCAGCTCCACTGCCTCCCTTCTCTTCCAGAGCTTAAAGCAACCAGCTGCAGGAAAAGGCACATGGAGAGATTTGCCTGCCTGGTGGCATACAGCCTCAGCTGATGCAGCCATGGCAGACCCCAGTGCTCCCTCTAAGCCCCTTGGCACTCCCGCAGCACCATTGGCTGCCACTCGCCAGGGACGCAGGAGAGCACCAGCCTGGACTGGTGCAGAGATCCTGGACCCGAGGTCTGGGGCGAGGAGACCAACCTCCAGGATCTCTGCACCAGAAAGAGAGATGCTGATGTCTGATTGGCTCACCACCAGCCTGGCCGACAAAGGCCATACCCATAACCGCGGCCAGGTCCGCATGGAGCTCTAGCAGGCCTACAACAAGGCCAGGAAACAGAGTGGATGCTCTATGGCACCACCTCACTTGTGCCACTACTATGAACAGTCCAATGCTATTTCATATTTTATTAAAAATATTTGTTTACAAAGCACAGAGGATTGATTGAATGCCTCTGGTGCTGCTGACATACTTAAAGTTAAGCCTGGGCTTAAATCGGTATTTCTCAAAGTGGGCCTGCTTCCCGCTGATCTTTCACTTCTCAGATATTTGGGGAAGGGGGGGGGGGAGATGCTAATTAACTGATAGGTCTTGTGAGGAACACACCTGACAATTAGGAACTGGACTGAAATTAACTCATTTCACCCAGGTTACCAGAAATGTTTTAGTTATTTCTATGGCAAGCTCTGACCACTGCCATTTTGTCTACATGTTATGTTGGCCCAATAGTGTCATACATCTACCATCCTGTGTGGTAGAGATGAATTTTATTAGTCTAACCTGGCCCTGTGGAGGAGAGTGCTTTCAGTACTTATCACGTCATCCTCAACGCATTCTCTGTCTGTCTCTGCTCCTCTTTTGGAGAAGCATCAGTAAATGATTCTGTGGAATCCTGTTGCCAATTAGCATACACGATGAAACAAGGATTGTGACAGGATGTCTGGCCCGCATTGGCCCTTTAATGGTTAAAACCAAGCCCTAGGAAAAGGCTGAAGCGGTAGAACCAGCAGCTGAGGCAGACACAGCCAACTGGGTCCCAGCTGGGGATGTATAAATAAAGACTCCTGGTGGGGTAGAGCAGGAGGGACCAAGATGCCAGAGGCTTCCAGACTCAGAGCAGAGCTGGGGAAGTTCTGGCCAGGCAAGCTCCCACGCTGCAAGGCCTGAGGGTACTAGGGCTGCACGAGGCAGCCAGGGCAGCAGAAAGCAGAACCTACACCTCCTTGCCAATGATGAGTGGCAATTTCAGACTGCAGTTTGCCCTTTAGATAAGGGCTAGAGGCCAACTGGCAGTGGGTCACTGAGGCAAGGTGGGCATGGGGGGTTCCCAAAATGTGGGGGCACTGGGGCAGGGCAATACCCAGAGGGGATGGTGCCACAGTCTGGGAGGGATATGGGTTCTGGTGGAGCCAACAACCGGTACAGTGGGTGAGACACTGGCTGGAAGGGAGTGCTCCAGAGTTGGAGAGCTAATTCTCAGACTCACCAGCAGGAGGTGCTATGTTGGTGGATCTCACCATGTTTATGGATAGAGATGTTCATACAGCATTAAAAATGTTTTCCATTTTGGTTCCAGCCTGAAAGACTGGCATGAGCCTACAGAGTGGACACAGCAGAGCTTGGATTAGCAGCCTTTGAGCAAGGAGTCGCAAGCTGAATTTTGTGCCTGCTGCAGCGAGCGAGGAAGACACTAGTGCAGTAGCTCTAATTATCAAAATTATCATTTTTCAACAGGCTGCTGCCATTGGATTTGTTTTATGGAGATTGCATGATGGTACAGGATGAACCTTCCTAGTCTGGTGCACTCAACCTCTGCAGCTGGAGCTCTCTGGTCTAGCAACATCTGTGGTCCTGCAAGACCAAAGATGTTGTGGGCCCAGTGAAATTCAACCTGTACCAGCATTATTTATCATAAGGACCCTAATCAGAGTGTGTGCTCTTTCTCCCTCTCTTTTTCTCATTGAGGGCCATAATCAAAGCGCTCTCTCTCTCTCTCTCTCTCTCTCTCTCTCTCATATACACAGACTCCTGCCCCCACACATCCTGTATTTTGGCACATGCCACACATTTTAACATGATCCTATTTCCTATGAAATAGTGACAGAACTTTCATTGACTTTAATGGGAACATTACTATGATCTCTTCTGTCTTCAGTTATACCCATGCGCTTCTCTTGATATTGTAAAGTTATGAGTGCTGATTCTGACCCTACAGCGGGGTGGCCAACCGATTACAGACGAAGAGCCAAAATAGTGGTGGATACAGCACAAAGAGCAGAGGGGGAAAAAAAGTTGTTGAGCCCAAAAAAAGGAAAAGCCCCAGCCACCACCGTTGGGGGAGTGGAGCAGGCATTGCCCTTTTAAGGTGGCCATTTGGAAGTCTACAGGGGATGGGGCGACTCCGGCTCTGTTTTTTTCAGACAAAAACACACTGCCCCTTTAAGAGCCACATGCGGCTCGTGAGCTGCAGGTTGGCCACCCGTGCCCTACGTGTTTTAAGAAGTAGAATTTTATTTTTACATTTTCCTTATTACTTAAGGGTGAAATTCATCAAAGTGAAGAGGGACTGCACAAAGTCCAATCCACCATCTGAGTCCCCATTCAATCCCAGCAATAAAGGAAGCAAGAAAACTAATGCAAATGGCACTTCTCTATCTGATGAACATCAGCCGAGGCAGATCAGCTGTTTTGGCTGTTACCATTAGATAGCTGCTTATCCATGATGCTTTGTCAGAGGCATAGCAAAGAGGGAGGGGGGGGGCAATTGCCCCCAGGTGCCACGCTAGGAGGGTGCAGGGCCAGCGTAGGAGCGATCGTACGCTGCACAGGCTCACCTGACACTTTGATCAGTGAGCTGGCAGCTGGGCCAAGTGCTGCCGTCCAGGAACGCACCGAGCAGAGGCAGCGGGCAGGAGCAGCCTCTTTTAAAAGTAAGATTAACTTGTCTGACCAGTTCTTCTGTTTCTGGGGGAGAGGGGGAGGCGCTGGGTTGCTTAGCGCTGAAGGAGGAAGATTTAGTGGAGGACTCAGGGGTTGCCCGTCTCTGAAGGAGGGGGATTTGGTTGGGGGGGCTCTGTGGTTGCCTGTCTCTGGAGTTGGTTGGGAGGGGGGCACTGGGGTTGCCGGTCTCTGAAGGAAGGGGATTTGGTTGGGAAGGAGGGGCCTCTGGGGTTGCCTGTCTCTGAAGGAGGGGGATTTGGTTGTGGGAGGTGCTGGGGGTGCCTGGCTCAGGCATCAGCTGGTAGAAAACCTGCCAGTCTCTAGCCGCAGCCCCTAGTCGGGCAGGCCAGGACCAAGGAACAGGGGGTGGGGGGCAAGAGGCGTGTAAAGTCAGGCAATGGCAGTGGGAGAGTACAAGTGGGAGGTGGATCTTGGGAGGAAGAGGTAGCTCAAGAACATTTTGGGGGGGGTGGGACAGTGTGTGGGTGGGGGGGCCTTAGGGCAAGAACAGCAGGGTGGAGGATCACGAGTCTGAGTGCTTGTGCCCCCCCAGCCGCACGTTTTGGGCACTTCTGTGATTCTGGGCTAGGAAAGCTGGGTCCGCCCCAGAGCAGTGCCCAGCCAAGGTAAGGGACAGCACATGTTAAAGACCCAGAGTAAAGTGATGGCTTGGCTGGTGGGGACGCGAGAAGAGCTTTGTCATTTGTGAACTCTGCCTGCAAGTGCTGGGAGCAGAGGTGTGGGGAGCCCCCTTCCCTGTATGCTGAATTGGCCAGTGACCTGCTGCCTGGCACCTGGTTCCCTACCCATTGACTTTCAGCCACTCACCCATCTGTCACTGGACTGCCTCACTCGATTTCATCCGGACACAAAGCGCTATCAAACAACTGATGTGTTAAAGACCCAGAGTAAAGTGATGGCTTGGCTGGTGGGGACGCGAGAAGAGCTTTGTCATTTGTGAACTCTGCCTGCAAGTGCTGGGAGCAGAGGTGTGGGGAGCCCCCTTCCCTGTATGCTGAATTGGCCAGTGACCTGCTGCCTGGCACCTGGTTCCCTACCCATTGACTTTCAGCCACTCACCCATCTGTCACTGGACTGCCTCACTCGATTTCATCCGGACACAAAGCGCTATCAAACAACTGATGGCACTGTTGCATAAATTGCTGGTTTCGTCCCCTTGGAGGCTAGTCTGATTTACCCCAAGAAGAGAGTCACACTTTCAGGCTGGGTCCAACTCAAGTTTATTGGTTGCAACCAAGGTACGGCTAAGGAACTCAATGTTCAAAGCAGAGCCGACCCTGAGCGTTGGCTAAGCATCCTTTTTATACTTTCTTTAACTTTCTTATCTAACTTGGCACGTCTTGATTTGTTACCTTAGCTTCGTGTTGCCGCGTTATTGGTTAGCATATTTCAACTCTATTCCATTCAGTAACAACCACCAGTATAGCTTACTTAAGCAATAGCAATTAGCAAATTTCCCTAACTCAAGTAATACGTGTACTCCAGTCCTTGAGAAATGGGTCTAAACAGCTAGTTCCCCTTTTTCCTACAGCTTCTAAAACATGCGCAATTAGCTAAATGATATGTGCTGTTTCAAGCTTAAGTAATGGAAGGGGGAAGAAGCACACATAGTTTTTACTATATTTTACTACAGCACCATCCACCCACTGGAATGGTACTAAGCCCATGTGACCAAGGCAAGATTTGTCCTTGCCAGCCCTTGCTCTGCCCATTGGTAACACCCAGAGGGCTTTCCCGAGGAGGCGAACGTTATTCCCATTTTACAGCTGGGGAAACTGAGGCACATTGGGGGCTGTGACATGTCTGAGGTCACATACCAGGCTGAACTAGAAGCTCAGTTTCCAGTGGTTCAGGGGCTGTCTACACAAAGACAAAGATGTGAGTGCAGCACTGACTAGCATAACCTGCCTTGCTGCAATCTGACTAATATGGGGAACAACTGCAGGGTGGGGGGGCTTCAGCAATCATGCCCTGTCTAGCTCGTGTTGTGATCAAGCCACCCCTGCTCGCCCATGGTGCACCTCAGCTAATGGCAGCAAAGGCAGAGATGGATACCTGGCAGCCACCCCCTGCCTCTGCTTCTCTCATCCACTCAGCCCTGCCCCCAGGCTTGCTGAGGCCTGTGGGGGAATGCTTTGGACCTTGCCAGTTCACTCCCTTCACGCTGCAACACCGGCCTACAGGCACCATAGAGCCTGGCCTCTGGAACCCCACTGTGGGAGAAAACAGGGCCTGACCTAACCCCCAGTTCAAGGGATCCACTTGAGGGAGGGCCCTAGCACCAAAATCTCACTGATGTTAGACCTTGCTAGGGGGCGCTGGCTCTGGTTCAGTCTCAGGACATGGGGCAGAGGCTGGCTCATGGAGGTATGGATGGACTTTGGGGATCCATCCCGTCTAGGGGGCACCAGCCCCCATCTAACTCCATGCGGGCAGTATAGAATCACAGAACACTAGAGCTGGAAGGGACCTCAAGAGGTCATCTGGTCCAGTCCCCTGCCCTCCCAGCAGGACCAAGCACCCAGGGCTACTCAACACATGGCCCGTGGGCCGCATGCTGCCCATGGCCAGTTTGCGCCTCGCGGTGCAGTTTGGGTTCATGTGGGGATCAACACGAGGCCGGCGAGTGGGAGCCAAAACAAAAAAGTAGTCAGTGTAATGATCTTCTGTTGGCATGCGTTTTAGTAGTTAAATTCTTGGACTGTCATTGCTCATGAACAATGCTGTCACATGGGTAGAAATTGAGGAAATGTTGCATTTTATTAATATCAGCAGAACTGACTTAAATGGGGCCTGTGTGTTGTGTAGTCTTGCCTTAATCTTTGTATTCATGCCTGTCAGTGTGGGAAAAGCTATTTGTATATATTTGCTTGCATAAGCAGCCACACTCAAGTTGAGGCCCTCAGCATGTTCTGTAAGTATCAGTGTGGCCCCTGGGGCTTCCAAAGTTGAGTTGCCCTAGCTCATCCCTGACAAGTGTCTGTCTAACCTGGTCTTAAATATCTCCAGTGATGGAGATTTCGCAACCCCCCCTAAGCAATTTATTCCAGTGTTTAACCACCCTGACAGGCAGGAAGTTTTTCCTAATGTCCAACCTAAACCTTCCTTACTGCAATTTAAGTCCATTGCTTCTCATCCTAACCTCAGAGGCCAAGGAGAACAATTTTTCCTCCTTATGATACCCTTTTAGATACTTGAAAGCTACTCTCATGTCCCTTTTCGGTCTTCTCTTTTCCAAGGTAAACAAGGCCAATTCCTTCAGCCTTGCCTCATAGCTCATGTTTTCTAGACCTTTCATCATTTGTGTTGATCTTCTCTGGACTTTTTCCAGTTTCTCCATGTTTCCTGAAGTGTGGCGCCCAGAACTGGACACAATACTCCAGCTGGGGCCTAATGTAGATGACTCACTCCCTGCCTTGGGGACATGAGACTTGGCGGGTTAATTTCCAATCCTTCTGTTTATTCTTTTCCTAAGTCAGGAGGGCACAGTGGTTCTGATGGGGGGCTCTGCAGGAAGGCAGGCAGCACTGCCCCCTGCCTGAAACCTTGTGCAGCTGTCCAGCCCACCCTAGAGGTTACTGCAGCAATACAGCACCAGCAATGGACAGGAGAATGGCTCCCGGGCATGGCTTGCTCATGACTGCTTCAGTCCCGTTGGATGGGCCTCAGACTCTTTCCTTCCCCTCCCCCACTTTGCAATAGGGCTGTAGACTCTGGGGGAGAGGGGTGGAGGCAGGCAGAGGTGTCTCCCTGCAGCAGATGTAGACACATCTCTGTATTAATCATTCTCTCATTGAAGTTTTTAGCTTTGTATTGAGTCCTTTTACATGGAAACTTTGT